TGGTGGACCATAAATGGAGATGAAAATCCCGTTGTCATCCGAAAGCTAAGAAGACTAAACCCCGTCCACCAAAAGCCAAAAGGACATCTTACAAATATGGCTCAAAGGGACAGGAGTGGGAATCATGGACCTCGCCCAAACGTGGACATTGGTTCTGGTTAAAAGCTCCTTGTCAGCACTCGATTGCTTTGTTCTTCTTGTTGGTGCTCTGGTCTTCAGACGTAGATGTGGGTTTGGAGTTTGGGATAAATAGCAAATGACGGGAATTAGCTTTTGTTTTTGATGGATGGAAGGAAAGCAAGCTCTCATCCCACATTCCCACTCCACTGGTGGCTGGGAATTTTGCTAGGACACTTTTTTTTTTTCTTCCCTTTTTTAAACCCTCTCGCTCTCTCCGACGGGACCACTTTTATAATGAAAATTCACCACACGTACATGATACAAGTATACAACAACACCTAATGGACGGATCTTGCGCCTCCTTAGTTCCCCAACCTATCCCTTCCATTTTCTTTTATCATCTTTTATTATTATTATTTCAATTTTTTAATTTTATTTATCTATTTTGGATTGCTTTTCTGATGCCAGTAAGTGTTTCAATGGCACTAAAGCCTAAAGGTTGCTTTCAAAAAAAAAAAAAAGAAAAAAAAAGCCTAAAGGTTGCTTTCAAAAGAACAAAAAAAAAAGGCCTAAAGGTTGAAAAATGACACACAAAGTTACGAAGAGTACAATTAATTATCTTACCACCCTATCTTGACTTTTTAGGTCTTTGTTGTTTTCCCAAAAAAAAAAAAAAAAAACTACCCCCTCCCTCTTTTTTTATAACTGACGTTTAAGGTTTTGCACACCAATTAAGAAAAGCTTTGCATTACTTAAATCTGTACACTACTTTCCTTTTGTATTCTCATTAATTACTAGGGTTGTTACAAAGAGAGAAGTAATAATTACTAGGAGTAGTAATTAAGAACCCTGTATTAGAAAAGAGAGATAAAAGGATAAAATTGTGAAAAAATAATTAATATTGTATGGGAATAATAAAACGATAGATAAAAGTACAATTTCTTATACGTCAGTTATAAAAAAGAGGAGTGAGTATACGCTTAGTTGTGCATTTTGTCTGTCTGTCTGTCTGTCTGTCCCTCACCAACGTAATCATTTCAGTTGGGTTTCGTTGCATGAGGATAATTAATGGCTCCGGCAAATGATAAAAGCAAGCGCATAGCATAATGGGGTGAAAATACACTGCATTTAACTCAGATGAGGGCATAAAAGTACAGAGAAACTCTAAAATTAATTTAATGGTGGGTCAATTAAGCTGCACTATTTGTCGTCTCGTCGGACACGTAATGTAAGTATGATGGGGCTGTTGTTTTGTGGATTAGCAGCTGGTTTAGCGTTTGCAAATGTGGTTTTATTAGCACGACAAGATGAAGTCATTTTCAATGGAAATGGCATTGGCCTCTTTTTTTTTTTAAAACAAAAATTTTAATTTTAATAAGCGCCAGCGATCCATAGACAATTAACCTTTTTTTTTTTTTGGTTTAATTTGTTTGTCAGTAGCTCTGGGTGGGTGAGAGGCCAATAATTTATAGACTACTTACTATAGTATATGTTAAGTGGGATGTCCGCTGAGGCTTTTGGCTTGAGTTTTATGTTCACATGTTTTTCTTTATATATTAGTAGTATTTCTTTTTTTTGATAATAGTAGTATTTTTTTTAAAAAAAAAAAAATAGTGTAAGTAGTAGGAAGGCTCCTGTTGACTGACATGTTGAGTCTTGTCTTTTTTTTTTTTGATAATAGTAGTTTTTTGTTGTCGTCTTTGAGCTGTTAAAAAATTTTTCTTTAATAATAAAAGCAGAAGCTTGATTGTTTAAGTAGTAGGATCATATCTATCAGCAATGGCGATCAGTGAATTTGGCGCATCGCTATTTCAATCATCACATCAATGCCACTACGCTCAGAAGAAAAGTTGAAAACCTCAAAAATGATGATAAGTGAAAACGAACGAGCTCTTGATATTTACTACTCCTGCGAAACTATTGTGGTACAGTACAATTCAGACTGGCAATCAATCGACGACAAATTTTTTTGTCCAAAAGTTGAGAAACAATATATATATAGTAATGTCGGATGTAATATGTCCAGTTGAGAGTTGAGGCATTTAATATCCGACCAATCCTCAACGCATGTCTACCATTTCATTTGCCGGTTTCGAAGCGAAAAGTGATCGATGCCATCAGCGTCCTTGTGCTTCAACCACCGCCCAGATCCGATCCTCCTTATTATTACTTTCATAACGAAACGTGTTATTATTATTATTATGTGTCCGACGGACGACGTAATGGTGGTGGCGGCGGCGGCGGCTACTCTTGTGGAACCACTACTGTTGCCTACTGCAACCTCATGGTATTTATGTTCTGTTTTAAAGACAGAAGAAAAAACTAGAAATCCAGCATGTCCTTTTTCCTAGTTTCATCTATTGGTACTCTCCCTCTTTGCTTGCTTCCACTACGTTTTGTTCGGTTTGCACCGATTAAGCAACTGCCAAAATTGCCAATTGGCCTTTGATCTTTTTTTGAACTCGGTCCTTCGAAATGATTTTGATTTGGAGCCTACTGAGGCTGCAGGCTCTGCATCCACCAGAATTTTTACACCGACCAAAGCGGTAAAAAAACTCACTCTCATGCCATTTTTTCTCTTTGCTTGGCAGGCAAGAGTGACAAGGAAGGGACTTTTAGTAGAGACGCACGTACGATTTCGTGAGATCACCCCACCAGACCAGACCAGACCAGACCACACACCGCATGAGGGAGACGGACGCGGGACAACCCCCCATCATCCACGGAACTCGTACATTTTCCCCGATACAATACACACTTTCTCATATCCCCCTGTACAATGTGCATACAAACATGGTGCATCCCGTCCGTTGTGCTTTCGAAAGCCCGCCCGCCCGCCGTAGAAGACTAGACTTCCAAGTAGAACGGACCCAAACCATAGACTTCTGAGTTCAGACAGACTTCTTGAGTTCGGACAGCATCAAGACGCTGGTGGCAATAATCATATAAGCATTTTAATGTTGTTGTCAGGCGATACTATGGATACAAGCAGCCGAATCTTTTTTAAGGTTCTGGTGAGATAGGTCACTGTCCAATGTCCATCCATACATGCCTCGATCAAAGCCAATTTCAACACAATTCAGCAGAAATATCGGCTGTCGCAAGTAGGGGATGGCAATTTCCGACGTGACCTGAAAACACGACACGAACCTAACACCAAATTAATGAGCTTGGATTGAGGTTTCGTGGGTTGGGGTCAGAATCGGGTCGAACCCGATGAACTCGAAAAGAAAACGGATCGAATTCGGGCCAATTCATGAGTGGCCCGATAACCAGTTTACGAATTAAAAATAATTTAATAAATATAAAAAGTATTTTATCTAACTAAATTAAGTTATTGTTTTTTTTTCCAAAGGCATTAATCACTTAATTCTAAATGAATTTATTTAACTTGTGTGAAGTTAAAATTATTATATTTGGATAAATAATGTATTATATTATTTTTTACTTTTATACTGTTTTAATTTATTTTATATTTAGTTTGGGATAAAACACTTTTACGGTGTTTTTCAATTTATTTTAGATTTGATTTGGAATTATTTATTTAAATTTTTATTACTTGATTATGTAATTAGTCTTGTACAAAATTGATTTTATTAGAAATTACATTGGTAAATTAATAAATTAAAATTAAGTTTCAAGTCATTTCGGATCGACCCGCCAATCCGCAAATTCGAAATTTTTGGATTCGGATCAAATATCCTGACTCGTTTCGGGTTGCGCTGGTCAGGTACAAGTTTTCTGTTATACGAGGATCTCAACCCGATCTGCCAACCCGATTGTCACCCTAGTCGCAAGTACAATGGTGTGATTCCATATATTTTATTTTGAAATAGGCAGTCATCATATGGCGGATAAAAATCAGACTGCAGAGTCAATTATGCATGACAAAATAAACACAATCATTCATACGTCCCCAAAAAGTAAGAATGCATGAGTTTAGCTTCCCTTGCAAATCAACCTTCCAACAGAAAAGAAAGGGCAATTGGGGTCAAGGGCAGGGACAGCAATGTCAAATTGTGAGTTGTTTGTTCAACAATGTCAATCACTTTTGTTTGAACACAACATATAAACATAGAACACCTATTTGTGTCCCCAATACATGGCGATGTACACCGTGTGATCTGAAACTTACAATTTTTTTTTTCAAATTTAAAGATTTGGCAAATCCAGCCCATGAACCTTCGGGAATGGTTGTCATCCTGCCCCCATAGTTGGCTAATTGCCACCTTGCAGGAGTATGCAAAACCAAAATTTGACATGTCATTCAGCTGTTTGCTGCCCAGAGTTTGTCCTACATTCTAGAAACTTCACCATCCATCTATGTTGTGCACCTCATCAAACAGGCTATACTGTAAAATGAAGATGCATTGCACTAATCCACAGATGTTTCTGATGCAGTAAAAGAAAAGCGCACTAAACATCAGTCAAAACAACTCTGTCATCAACCAAATCTCGTTACCTCGTTGCTGACACATTTCATGGCACCGACACCAAACACGACATTGGAGTGGCAGCAAAATTTAAATCCAAATGTTATAGTAGAAAATACTAAACCTAGACAATATCCCTCAATCTTTGTTTTGGCAAAATCGGCCCCTTGTTTCAGATGTGTTGAAGAACATTTCTATACACCGATGTAGCACGACACTCCAACGTATTCACATACAACATTACCAATTGTTCCTTCTACATTGAACAACATCCGTTACCTCTAGACCTGATATACACAAACACTTTACCACAAAATCATGGGTCTTGGAGAAAACTAATTTGTCAAGTCATGAGCATTAGAATGTAAAAGGTGAAGGCCAGACTTTCACAGAGGAAAAAAGGTAAGAGAGAGAGAGAGAGAGAGAGAGAGAGAGAGAGAGAGAGAAGGAGAAAAACTAAAATGCTGGTATATAGTAAATCAGTCTTCAGATTAGAGTGAAACCTAAAATTCTAGTTGCTGACCTAGGGAACCAAGGAATTTTCTTTGGTGAACTTCTGGGTGTGTGTCTTAGGCACATCGACTGTCTAACTGGAAGCTGCAGAATACAGTTACCAAAATTATTCTTTCAGCACACTGAAACTGTTGAATTGAAGGATGCACTATGAACTGCATGTATTCAAAGGAATAGAATGACCGTGTTTGCACATCATTCCTAAAACCTGCTTTAGTTTACACTTTTGACCCCATTGTGAGTAGGCCTTGTACAGTATCCAAAACGTTTTTTTTGAAAAGTAGACATTCACTTGGCGCATCTCATCCAGAACCATCTCCATCTCAGCAAGGCGCCTTTGTGATGAGTACATAACCATTTTGCAGTGATAAAGAGACCGGCAAAGTCTCCAGCCAGCACTTTCTGCGCGTTTCACAAAATTAGCCAGCTTGTCCACTGCATCATTTCGGAAATAACTTGAAACTATGCAACGCATTATTGCAGTTGTCCTGACAGCAGTATTATGCTCAAATGCCTCACTAATTAAATTTTCCATTTGCTCCAGTGAATCCTCATTTGCATACAGACAAATCAGTAACACATTCAACCAAGGTCTGTAATCATTTTCTGGAATCAACACCAACAATTCCTCGATCTTTTTAACCCTATTTGAAACAGAACTCCTGCAGTACGCACATATCATAGTTCTAATCAAGGGAATTTCCTTATCATTCACATGATCTTTTACCAGCTCATAAATCTCTTCCATCTTTTTCAACTCACCAGAGTGCGCATACCCTCGGAGCATCAGCAAATGGGTAGAAAGGTCGGGCTTCACGTCATCTGCCTTCATGATCATATAGGTCTTTTCCATATTGTCCCACATCCATGCAGTAATATATCCAGCAATTAGATTTTTGTATGTGCTCAAATTAGGGGAGAGATTCAGATCCTTGATCTCTTGTAAAGTTGCCTCCATGTGATCTACCAGCATCAACCGTCCAAAGACTGAGATGAGAATGTTATATGTGACAATTGTTGGCTTACATGTTTCTTCCTGCCTCAAATCCCAGAAAACTAACTGACATTTTGCAGCCAAACCATTGTACATGTAAGCACTCATAAGTGCATTGTACAGAGAGGTTTCCTTAAGTTTTTTGTTGGCAGCTTCAGCAAAAAGCTCAGCTGCGAGATCAACATCCTTCAATCTTCCAGCCAAAGTAATGCCCGTGGCATACTCCTCGTTCGTCATAGGTGCACCATGGTCTAATTGCTCCCTTCTCCAATTGAAGATCTAAAAAGAAAGAAATTCCACAAAACTGATACAGAGATACACACTATTGTTTCCAACTAAACCTAGCTGTCATTCATTACTTGAATTAATACTAAAGAAAGCAAATATCTAGTACAATGAGATGTGGATTAGACTCATCACTAAATTCAAACAGCTCCAAATTCTGAATTGGACAATGAGATGTGGAGACTTTCTGTAAGAACTGCACGTTTTGCATGGCTCCGGAATTTGCAGTGGGATGTCTAGACTTTTTGTCAAGTCCAAACATTTTCACTAAATTCAGATGGGACCGGATTCTCTATTGTACTATGGGATGTGTAGACTTGCTATTGAAACGGAACAATTTCACAAGTTTCAAGTATAAGACAGCATTCAACACTGAACTCTTAATTACCATATCCATACTCATTCATTGAAGTCTAAGAAACAACCATCTTGATGGCTGATAGATCTAACTAGCGGGGAGTATCGCCATAAGACCCTCATCTGGTTTCGTTTATTCATTAAAAGAGACGAACAAAATTTGACAAAACTACGCCAACAGGCATATTCATAGTTCCCCAGGTGCATAAACAACATTAAAGAAAGATGTTAGTCAAAGGAAAAGGGTAGACCTGAAGGGCAAAATCAGGAGAGGAAGCCAACTGCTTTAAGAGCTCAATAACAGCAGAGCCATCATAATAAGTCCGAAACAAAGGCACCCCTTTTTCTTCCAAAACTCTCTCAATATTCTCCGCATCGCCGCTGTACTTCAGTAACTCCTCTTTCAATGCTGAGACCCTGTCTCTTTGATCTTGTTTGGCGGTCGAATCACCTGGGCTGCGCCATTTGTTAAGGAATAAAGGGGCGATGTTTGGCCACACGATTTGGCAGGTGGTAGATGGCGTCTGGGGCGGACATTGTCGAAGCAACCTGGAAGCAGAAGTAGGGGTTTTACATGATGATGGGTTCAAGGAAGGGCTCGTTGTAGGGGGGTTATGGGAGCCCGAGTATCTTCTCTGGAGGAATCGATCTCTCGTTTGGGCTGCGTCTGATGATAATTTCCAAGCTCGTTTCATAGTTCTTCAACGGAAATACAGGACTTCCCACGCACCCTGATCATAGTTGTTCGCTGGTGCTTGGGATTTCGGTGGGGCTGCGTCGGCCAGACGCCGTCGTTTCTTCTTGGTTCTGCAGATGATTCTCGATAGAAGAGGATGATAAAGAGCACTGCTGCAATTTTGGGGTATTGAAAGCCCGGATCTTACTTATTTGGGCTTCTTGCAACTTTGGCCCAAATGTTCATGTTCACTGTTTTTTTTTTTTTACAATGCTAAACTAACACAGAAGAGTTTATAAAATGCATAATCACTAAACGGGTCCATAAACTACTCCCCTGCCATAAAACGGATGGGTAATGATTAATCACGAAAAATGTATCAGACTTTCAACCACTTAACTATTTCTAATCCGAAACCAATTCGCGTATAAAGTAATCACTGTACAATTTTACTGAATACTTGTCTGATGTCATATGTAGTATAATCCTTAATTATGAACGTATATGTGTAAATGATACCATTAATCAAGAGGTGAAAATTTTATCAACTTAAATAAATACAAACTATATGCATGAGAGGTATAATGTATTTTTAACATACTTTTTTTTTCTGAAATTATTATTTTTTTTTTGGTGTTTAACATACTTGATAAACTATTTCAATATATACAACTTGGTCAATAATTATTGAACATCTAATCCCGTCATTGTAATTAATTTATAAATCAAATTGCAATTATTAACCCGTTTCCTTACTTTTATTTCGTAGAACTGTAAAAAGTAAAAACTGCAAACATCCATATCAGATGATCCAACATTTAGTGCTCATTGTCAAGAACACGACAACGAAAAACATCAAACTTGCTAAACGTGAACCCCCTATGAGTGTTAACATTAGTGTCCGTAGAATTTGTCCAATCAATAGTTAAGATTTTAGAATGCTCAAAGCAAAAAAATTATTTTTCTATTTTATTAGCAAATATCCAAATATTGAACAATATATTTGCTAAATGTAATCAATCCATGCAATTGCTATGCACGCAAGATCAGGTTTGATACAAATATCACCAATTATAAACTATATCGAATTTCACATTCAACATTTAAATATCACCTTTACTGTATTTGTCTTTAATCTAAATTTATCTTTAGCCAGTTACTTTCCTATAACAAAACGTTAAGGTAACAATTAATCAAGAAACACGTAGGTAATAATGCCATAAGTTACTTCCTTATCACGCGTGGCACGTTGAATTATGTATATGTTACAAGGTGATTAAGGCTCAATAATTAAAGATCATGGGTTTAATTCTCTCATTTTCTCTCATCACTTCTTAAATCACGTTCTCTGCCTACTAGACAAAAAATTCTTAAATCTCATCCATTGTTTGCCTTAAAAAAGGAAAAAAGAAAAAAAAAAAAAGAGTGATTAGCATTTTTCACTAAATTTTAATGAGCCAACTTTGATTTTCACATGGTTGACACCATTAAAATAAAAAAAGAAGCTTTGGCATGTAAAATTAATTTGTTAGATAAATGAAGTATTAGGGTCTGTTTGGATTAGTTGTTTTTAGGGTATTTTTGAAAAATTTTACTATAGCAAAATTTTTATAATATATTTTAAAAAATATTTTGGGATATTTAAGAGTAGAAGAGTTTTTAAAATATATTTTGGAATATATTTTAAACATTAAAAAAAATTTAGACTACTTTTAAGAGTACTTTTTAAAAATTTTAATAATATTTGAAAAACTCTTGAGTCCAAACAGAGCCTTAGACTTTAGGCATACGAACACACAACGTAGTATATGAACACGCACTGGAAGAAAATGTTGTTTGCATTGTGCCTAAAAGAATGGCTATGACAATGCTACGGACATGCCAAACTGAAAATTGCTAAAGCGAGATAGTAATTGAGTTCCCCATTTGATTAAAAGTTTAATTACTGAAGGTAATCAGTCTTTTTTTCCCCCCTATTTTTGGTTAACTGTACTAAGGTTATAAAGGAGATGATATTGGCAATCCATTCTCCCTTTAATATCACTTACTTATATTACATCTAGTTAGTAAAAAAAGGGGATAATTAACAGTCATCTTTATACAGATGCATGATCTAGTTGTGTAATTAATAAGTTGCAGTTTTCTTTTTTTTTTTTTTGGGTTCCCTAAAGCTAGATATATCTACTCTTAGCTAAGGCAAGGGTTTCCGTTATTAAACAAAAAGAAAGAGAGAGGAAGGTAAAACTACAAATACTAGTGTATCATAATTAAAATTAAAAAGCAATCATTTTAGAAACCTTCCTTTCACGTTTCTAACTATATAATTTTAAAATTTACACTTACCTCGCATACTTCTGCTATTTTAATAACAATATAGATCCAACTATCTACAGTTATCCTTAAAAATCATAAAATACGCCATTGTTAGGGGGAAAAATGAACACTCATCTCTTTCATCCTCGTTGTAACTATTACAAATGGCAAATCTCACCACCCTAACCGACTCATCAAGCCGCTCGGGGGTTAGATCACCTGGTCTTGGGGTAGCCATTCAGATCCCAAGGTCCAGGGTTCGAACCTCTCTTAATGTCTGGGTACTCTTGGGGGTGAGGTACTTCAGGTGCAGGTGATTAGTTCGGAAAAGTTGGGATATACCCTATATTGAAAAAAAAAATAAAATAAAATAACCGGCTCATCAAGCCACTAAAACCGAATTCTCATATTCTCAAATTTGTTGACAGCCCAAAATCATCCATCATTACCCTAAAACTTATTTTTCTGCACAAAATTGGCATGATAGCATAACCTCCAATTCCTTTTCGATTTTTAGCCAACACTTGTGTTTTCATTACGATGCTTTTTTTATATGCTCTCACAACTTGTAACAGGGTAATTTCAATTCGATAATTCTCCCATTTCTTTTTTTAAAAGAGAGTGCCCGAAAATATGATACAAGGATTGGAATGGATTGCATGATTTTTGTTTTTTTTTTTTAATGATATGAGATTATGCACAAGTGACGAATGTTATAGTCATTTTACTGCAATTACCGAAACGCGAAGGGAAGAGGCTTTTGAAATTATCCTAAATTGAAAAATAAGAGGGTCCAAGCCAAGGCCGACTGCACTGCACCGTAACATTTCTAGGAACTAGAGTCCGCCACGCTTCCACCCAGCACAACCTTCAACAACCACTCATCACAGCGACCAACCCGCCCCCCACGGCCTCTTTCCACCAATTCATTAGTATTTCCATATGCCGTACTACTAATTTACTACTACTTTTCTTGGTGCGATTCCTAAAAGAAACCTTTGCTAATTCACTGCTAGCGGTGCTGGATAATTCAGTCCATAAGTGAAGACATCCAAATACACTGGAGCATTTTCCTGTCCTGCTGGTCATTATCCAGCTTTGACACTGTTGCCGAACCAAACAATAAAAAGTCATAAACCCAGAAGACATAGCATAAGATAGAGAGAGAGAGAGAGACTGTTTTGGGTAATAGTCCCAACATCCAGGTGATTGTACAAGATTGTGGTCATGAACTTTTATATCTTTTCTATTTATTTTTTTTTTCAAATCAGTAGTAAGTTGACTTTCATTCAACTTTATTTATCGATGATGATTGATGTTTAGTGGAACCAACTTCGTTAATCTCAATTATAATTCTTTTACTTTTTCGAAATTTGTCCTCTGTAGTAAGTAAAAAATTATCTGTACCTTGAAGAATTTTGCTTGCTGTAGAAAAAGCTGAAATCTTGACGTACTTCGGTCAAGAACCTTGGATATAGTTGAAATGAGTAGGATTCTGGACGAACCCCATAATTGAGGATGGTGTATCTTCCGCGTGATTCGAGTATCGCTCTATCTTTGTCTGACTTTACTCGATTGAATGGAATATATATATGAGAGTTGTCATTCTGAAATTGCATAATTGCCCATTCTCTGGATATAGATTGTTGCAAAGTCAATCTTATGTGTAGCTTGTATTCATTTGTGTTGTTGGAAATATATAATAATATTGCCAGAGTTGTCGTTGGCATTATTGTTTGCAGAGTTGGCATGGTAACAAGGACCCTATTGGGGATACTATGAAGACTCGACAGCATCTGATATTTGTCAAAAACTTCCAGGGGTACCGTTGAGTTACAAATGTATTTTCTATCTGAGGGGACTGCCATTAACGACATGGGCCACTGGTTTAGCAGATTGGAACTTGAATCGGAACTTCTAGAGGGTTTTAGTTCCAGCTATGAGGTTGTTGGCAGTCCAGCATATAAAAGGCCATTGAGTTCTTTGGACCATGAAATTGCTCAGCTCACTAAGCTTAGGTCAGGGCCCCATGAGAATTTAAGCCGAGTACTGCCTGGGAAACGGGAATCTTCTGTTTCAACTCTGAAGATGTTAGCTGGTCGAGAGGCAAATTTTTCAGGTAGAGGGAGATTTTCAACAGCTGATCGCTGTCATGTTCTCAGTAAATACTTGCCAGTCAATGGTCCTTGGGTTGTGGACCAGATGAACACCAGGGCTTATGTGTCGCAATTTTCAGCTGATGGCTCCCTTTTTGTTGCGGCATTTCAGGTAGTCTTTTCCTGTACAATACTGGTTCAACTTACAGTGGAGAATATGCGATTGTTAACCTTTGGTTATATTGGAAGGAAGAACTATAGCAATATCTATATTCTTATCGGGAGCACATGTAAAATAGTAAAGAAAAAGAAACAGGAGAGATAGAACCTTTTAATGTTTAAGAAACCTTTTGATTCTTATGGCATTTAAGAAACTTTGTCCTGGCTGAGTCGAGTACTTGTTAATTGCCTAGTTCAAGTGGACCTTCTTTTGATCTCCCAAGTTACAAAAAACTTTCTTCTGTATTGTTGTTTATGTTAACTTGCATATCTTAATAGAGCTTTCTGGCACTGTTATTTGTGCATAAATATTTTCCTAAGAAAGTATTTTTCTTTTACAAAACAGGGAAGTCACATTCGAATATACAATGTGGAAAGAGGGTGGAAAGTTCAAAAGAACATTCTTGCCAGAAGCTTGAGATGGACAGTTACTGATACATCTCTTTCACCAGATCAAAGGAATCTTGTAAGTTTTACGCTGCTAAAAACTGCGACTGCATGTTCATATTTGTCTGTGCCATAATATTGTTACATTGTGATCCT